GTCTGAATCAATCCTTGATATAAATCTTCTCTCACTCTTTCAAGTATAAACCCTAAAGTCACTACTCCTTCCGAAGAGTCTGATGGCAATCATCTGACCATGTCCCACGGAACTCCGTCGGCTAGCAAAGTCCAACAAGGAAGATGGGAGCCTATTCGGATTTTTGAAGTGGGGATCGTAAGGATAAAAAAGGATAAAGCATTTGCCGTTGATCAATCCCTTTTTGGGATGCGGCACGCATTCTACTTCCATTTGTACATTCGTAGTGGCGTTTGAATGCGATGTGGCCTATACAATGACTTGCGGGGGCCAGCCGATGTACAAGTCAGTGTTTTTATCCTCCCAGACAAGTCTGGTACCAATTAACCGACCCCGGAGGGATGGAAGGCTTGGTTGGCCCGGGCGACTCACGACCCAGGATTTGATCCCCGGACCGCTCGCGGTAAGCGTGCCACTTGCCACTACACCACTTCCGCCCTTCTAAAATCACACACAAAAACGGAGGAAAAGCGTGGAAAAATTACTGGCGCAAAAATACAACGTTCACCTCACGAACCTCATGTCGGACAAAATGATGCAACGCATGGCGCACCCCCAACATGAAATTGCCTCAACCTACTTCACCAACCTGAACTCTTACTGTATCAGGAAGTCCAGCATGATAGGCTTCAGCCAATATTCCAAAATGGTTCAACGTTGCACGCACACGTTCACATTCCTTCCTGGAAAAAGCACATGAAAATTTGAAAGATGAGGCACAGCTCGCGATCGGATCATTAGAGCAATTTTCTCGGTGCGTGGGGTAGCTGCGTCCCCGAGCACCGAATTCGCGGCTCTTTCACGTCTCGAAACTACGCCAAGGAAAGAGGGGACGCATCGGAAAAGTATATGCGCCGGCGAGTGTGGCGCCTCACTGATGAAAGGTGCGCTGGTTGCTGAGCAGGTACTTCGAAAGCTGCTCTGCTCCCTATGCGCCCCGCCCACCGGTTTAGTTGGTGATTTGGACGAGCTGTGTTGCCAGCGTGATGTAACGAGGAACTCGACTGGTGTCCTAGTTGCGTTGCACGCACGGGTTGGCATAATGCCGCTAAACGGTTTACGGTAAACTCGTTCATTCGTCCCTGTAAGAACCGTTGCTCGTCCATGAGCGAAAATCAACAAGGAAGTCATATTCTGCGTTTTCTTGACGGATTTCCTTCCTTTTTGGCAATCGGCGTATTATTGAGCACCTCCGCGTCTCTCAAAACCCCTTCAGAATCTATCGCACTCACTGACTTCGAGGCATTGTCTTGACCGCTGCAACCGCTGCCATGTTCACTCGTTCGCAGTATAGGTGATATCTGCACCCTCTCGTACAACGTGGTCTTTCGCACATCCCTTCCTGCCGCATAGTGTCGCTCTGTCACCACGGTCGACTTCACAAGAGAAGAATGAATTTAATTTTTGCTTTTCCCCACAGACACTCCTCATCTCACCATTTGATTCACTTCCGAGGAAAACTACTACCAACTCCGACCACGACCTGTGCATTTAAGGTCGAAAATACAAGCCAATCACAAAACTTCACTAACCTAGACAGACAGTAAATAATGCCAGCTTTATCAGGATACAACTGTTTCATTCGCTTAATCACATTCACGAACATTGCTTTCGATTTTGGCATAACTTCATATATGAGATTTGATCTCACAAAGCTACTGATGAACCTGAAATGCCGAAAACTCATTGGAAAATGGTTCAGCATGAACCATTCGCTGTTAATTGACCATGGGTCGTATTTGGAGATCTTGGCAAAGCAGGGCTGTATTTAGACTTTCTAGAGGGGTTGCAGGCACGAAAAATATATTAATTGGGAGAGGAATAGTACACATGTAAAATACCCATCTCCCGAGAATGCTCAATTGGTCAGTCCGGCCATTTGTAATGAGTTATTAAGAGTCCGCTGCTATACTCGTCTTGCGACGCTGAGCTCAAATCCGTTCTCGGTATCTGCGGAACGATTCTCTGAAAGAAGTTACGAGGGATTCTTCTCACTGTGGCTTTCTCACTATGGCGCCCTCTACATCCTCGCATCCCGCTTGCCACGCTCACGTTGAGCCGGTGAGGAGTTCTGGATGTGGGACTGGTGGTGCAGTGGATAGCACGTTTGCTTCATATTTGGTGAGGTCAGATGTTCAAATCCTTGCGCATGGCAAACTTTTGCATTTTTCCAGGGCTCCTCATACGAACCCAAAATGTGTTTATATTTGGATATTTTGTCGATTTGCGTCCCCCTTTTACATCTGGAGAGGGCAGACTCTGGAATCTCCTTCTCGTGCTCATTTTTTTCAGTTCTTCGTTAAGATGAACTTTGACACACAGAAGCTCTTAAATTAACAATATTTCGAAAAGTTATTCCAGCTATACGAGCAACTATGATAGTCCCTCACAAAATGATCAAAACAAAACAGATGTATAGTATAACAGATGTATGGGGACGCAAATCGACAAAATATCCAAATATAAACACATTTTGGGTTCGCATGAGGAGCCCTGGAAAAATGCAAAAGTTTGCCATGCGCAAGGATTTGAACATCTGACTTCACCAATATGAAGCAAACGTGCTATCCACTGCACCACCAGTCCCACATCAGAACTCCTCACCGGCTCAACGTGAGCGTGGCAAGCGGGATGCGAGGATGTAGAGGGCGCCATAGTGAGAAAGCCACAGTGAGAAGAATCCCTCGTAACTTCTTTCAGAGAATCGTTCCGCAGATACCGAAGAACGGATTTGAGCTCAGCGTCGCAAGACGAGTACAGCGGACTACACCTCATTACAAATGGCCGGACTGACCAATTGAGCATTCCTCGTCAGCGTTTATATTTTCCCAGTCCTGCTCTTAAGGATTCATCAATGAAGTAACCTTTGGAAGAAAATTTTGGGGGAGTGGGACAGTTGATCATATATACCAGATCCAATACAGAAACAAACCCATGGTAGTAGAGGTAATGACGTGGGGCTGGGGAGGATCGGATGGGGGTCGTATTGGGGATCATCCTACGCACACTTCACCACGTCACTTTTGATCCTGGTTGCAACTGCATCCACAATGGACGGCAATGGGCGATATTTGTGGCCGCAAATTCAATTAAGTGACTCCAAAACACTGTACAAAGGAGGATAGTGTCCCCACAAGCTATGGTGGCAGCCCTATGAACTGCATAGGCTGAGGATAATTTTCGCTAACACTCACAGTTTTGAACCCACAATTCCTAGATGTGTTCCTTCGTGTCAGCGACAATCGCCGGTGTTGCTGTTGCTGTCAGAGCAATTATCGGAACCTGAAGGAGGAAAAATTGAAAAGAGTACGTACACTCGTCGACTGTTTTCAAATCGCACCCTTCATACCCAACGATCTCTCTCTACCACTAAGGGTCCTCCTTCTTTTGGTTGCACTGGTCATGATTGAACTGGTGGATTCTTCTGTTCGAAAATTAAATATAGGTGCAAAGAGGAACGTTGGTGGAGAAAAGGGCAGAAATACTATCAAAACACCTGAAATTTTTGGTGAGACCGACCGTGGTCGACCGTGGTTGACGGAGAGACGCGCTGCGAAGGAGAGGAAAAAAGCCGACGAAAGCAATCACTGAGCGAGAACGCACAGACGCCACCACTTTGCGATTGATAAAATGGCAGCGGTCGCAGCGGTCAAGCGAAAACATTAGCTCCCTTGTCGACCACTTTTACTTCACGGCTGTACCGTCACCCCTGTGGATAGGGGTTTTGCTACCTCATTATGGGGAAAATTCCTATCAATATCTTAACACAACCCGTGCCTTCAAGAGTCTCAGGTCATTTAATGACAAAGCCATGCGGCCTACTCAAGGTGAGCAGCAGAAGGATGAAATTCCTTCAAGACGCAGACGATATTACTGCTGTGCAGGGACAACATGGCGTGAGGAAATATTTGCGCAATCCCCCCCCCCCGCCCCTGTGATGGTATCTATGTATCACTGATTCAGCTGGTTACCGTCAAGAAGGAATAGGATGCCATATTTCATTTCCAGATCGAATCTCCTTTAACTGCCCTCTCCCATGCTTACCAATCTACGATCAAATAAACGACACAGTCGAGAAAATTCATCAATAGCGTTCCCAAACACTGCTGCACGTAACTGAAAAGCTAGGAAGAAGTGCAACTCCAAAAGAAACACGGCAAACTTGCAGAGCTCAGCCCATAAAGGGCGGAGGCTGTAGTTCTAGGGCCTCCTGATCTTGCATTAAAATCCTAGATGCTGGCTTGATGAACTTGCAGAGCAACTAATCGATGCACCGGCTTTAGAATCGCCATCAGTATTGACAAGGCCTGAAAAAATCTATTATGTAGCATGCAATAAGCAAGTGCTCAAATAATCTTCTCCTTCAACTTGACAAATAAAAAACGTCCGAAAAATTCCTGTCACCCTGACGGTACGAATGACTCGGCTGTGTCGTCTGGACTAACAATTTTTCCAGAGTTTTCCTACAATCACAGCTATTTTGAGACTTGTCTCTGCGCCTCGCGCAAACTCACCCTCAAAACCCCTAATTTGCTCGGTTACAACACTCACCTTCGGCTGCGCATATTGACGTCGTAGTGACTGCAGTTTTGCATAATCAGGCCGAAAGTCGTGTCCCCACTGAGAAACGCAATGCGCCTCATCGATAACAAAACGGGTTAAAAAATTTCGACGATGCAAACTTTTGAAAACCTCTTGGAGCTTGTTCGAGACGCTGATCTAATGTAAACAGTTTAGGGAGAAAAAAAGCATACTTGTTTTCTGAAGTGAATGGGAAGATCTCACCTTTTCAGGCGTCACGTACAACAGCTTGATGTCGGGTGGAGAGCGCATCAACCGCTTGTAAATTGCATCCTGCTCCTTGGGATTCACCTCTGAGGTGAGCGCTTCGCATGGAATCTGTGTGGAGTTTTGATCAAATGTGAATATTTCGGAATAGATGTCATAAAGCAAACCTTTGTTCAGTACTACAAGCTTGGTAAAAAAGTAAGAACACTCGCGAGAGGTACCAGGTCTGCAACGCGTGCGGTCGCGAAGCGGCGCTCACCCGATCAGATCGATGAGAATTTTCGAATCAGTCAGTGACTTTACCAGCAGTCTTGTGACTACCTGCTAAAACCTTTTCACGCTCCCTCAAACCCCAGCATGAAGTCGATTCAAGCACTACGTAACCGATTGAAATGAGCTACAGAACACACATGAATTAAGAATAAAAGCCAGTCGATACGCTTTCGCACGATTCTTGGACCTTGTAACTCTCAAGCACAGTTTCGAAGGTTAGGAAGATTGCAGCTTGAAGGCAGTGATTACGATAAATTGGGTGGGGGCAGTATATGCGCCACAGGTAAGAATAGCCGGACAGTGAAGGAAGCGAGGTATGACGTTTCCGTGGCAAAAGGTAGCTACCCTCTCCTTCGGGATACGAGAAGAGCGTCGAGTGCAGACCACACACCACAAGTTACGACGGCCAAGGAAAAAAAAAAGCCACTTTTTCTTGCCGTCGTCACTTGTGGTGTGTGGTCTGCACTCGACGCTCTTCTCGTTTGCCGAAATGAAGGGTAGCTCCAAGAAAGTGAAGGCCGGAACCTAAAACCCGTCACGCCCCAAAATCGCTCCGCCCACCAGTTTGTTGCTAGGCATCCGCTCCACACTTTGAAGAGCATTTCACTTCACTTCAAGCGGCCGCACCCTTTTTTCTTCAAATAATGCAATATAAACGAAAGCGTAATGCTTGTTGACATGGTGCCAGATAAGGGATAGCATGCCAAACAATCCCTTTATCATGTTGACTCGCCCATGATCGAAATCTAGGGACAAAAAAGGGTCTTATTCTGCGTGTTCTTCAGTTTTCCAGTGGTGTGTTAGTGGCGAGGGAAAGCAGAGAAATTCAGATTTGAAGACCATTCACTTTTTTCCGACACTGACACAACATTTAGCACCCCTCCACTCTTAACCTACCCATAATTGATCACATTGATGGTAAGAAAAATTTGTGACATACAACAGAACCAAATCGCACCCCGAGATCGCGCATTTTCAATCGTTGGTCCTCAATGAGTGACTTCAACGGCGATACCACCACTGTTACTCCGGACGACAGAACGGCTGGTAACTGATAGCACAAACTTTTTCCAGCACCTAGAACATCATTAGGCTTTTTAATCTTGAAAACTTATTAAAATTATTTATAGAGATCGAAGATTCTTTCCTCCTGAGCTCGAAGATTTTTTCCACGATTTCTAGATTTGGTTGTTAGATGATCAAGAATGAAATGCCGCCGGTAATGCGCAGCTAAACTGGTAATTTAATAATCAAGTACCCTTTCACAAATCCATAAATATTTGCTATAATTATAAGCCATTGAGAATTTGTAACGCACCAACTTGCGTTTTTTAATGCGTTTAAGTTATCCTACTTACTATAAAGCGCTTACGAACTATACGATCTGTCTGTCGTCTGTCTGTCTGTCGTTCTGTATGTCTGTCACGAAATTCCCTAGCTCCTCGGGATCCGCCTGGAGGGACCGGGTCAAGTGTGGGATGGGTGGGCAAGGTCTCACGAAGTACAAAACACACATCAGCTAAGCGGAGCCCCGCCCACAGAGGGCGTGGCGTGCGTCGAAAT